GCCTCGCCTGCCTGCCTCGCCTGCCTGCCTGCCTCGCCTCGCCTCGCCTCGCCTCGCCTCCCTCCCTCCCTCCCTCCCTCCCTCCCTCCCTCCCTCCCGCTCCTCTCCAACCTCTGAAGGAGGCGACAGTCGTCTCTCGGCCTCGTTTGTCCGGCAGGAGGAAGGGCTCGGGCTGGGTCCCCTACTACACGAGTTTGAGGAGGAGCATGCTCCAGTTGAAGGCTCACCGTCCTCCTCCTCCTCCCTCTGGTCAGATGATCGCGCTCTCCTCTCCCTCTACATCACGGCGATCCGAGTCCTCTCTAGGCTGCCGGGTGTCTCGCTGCCGCGAGGATGTGAGGAGTTCGCCGTCTACGTCGCCTCCCTCCCTGCTGACTCGCCGGATCTGCCCATGTCCTGCTTGTCCGTGGCAAGAGACTTGTGATGAGAGCGTTGACCAGGTTCTGGGGAGGAGACAGAACGTTTCTTCCTCTCCACGTCGCGAGAGCTGCTGCTGGCATGCAAGAGGAGTTCGAGGTGGTCAGTGTGCGAGCAGTGCGTGGCTGAGGCTGAGGCAGAGGGCGAAGCATGCGGTTCGAGGGTTCCTCTCCTTCGTCGCCTCTCGCAGGTCCGGGCGAGAGTGCGCGATGGAGAAGCTTGCAAGCGTGAAGCTCGACATCATCGAGGAGGAATACAGGAGGAGCTGGGCTCTCGTTGTGGTCAGCAACACTTTCACATCCTTGGCGGTACCTGCCTGATGAAACGTCTCCTCCCCTTCAGTCGCGATCCTTCCGCCGTGGCCTCTCGTCCACTCTAGACTCTGTAATCCCTCCTTGATCCTGCTCGCAGCTAGTCGCTGACGCGTTGTGGGAAGGTTAGTTTCAGAAGTCAGTACATGCTGCCTCTGGTGGACATGTTCAATCACCAGTCTGATACAGTCGACATGGTGAAGTTTGTGTGCGTGAGAGGAAGCGTTTGTTCTGATGCCTCCAACGGCAGCAGGTCAAGCAGCAGCTTCGGGAAAAAGTCAAGATGGAGGTGGACGGGCCTGCGACTTTGGTGATGACTGGCATGCTTGCCCGCTGATGTGTTGCTGAGCGAGGATGAAGATGAAGGTGGAGGGAGGGAGGACGGGATGGTTTGCGACGAGGCATGTCAGAGCGGGAGCGCAAGTGAGCTGGAGCTACGGAGACATATCGTCGGAGGAGCTGCTTCTCGATTATGGTTTCGTTCCAGACAAGAATCTCCATGGTGCTTATCAAAGATTCACTTTCTGATGAGATTTGTGATGTGATGAGAACAGTCTGTTGAGATGTTGTGTTGTGAACAGTCTGTTGAGATGTTGTGTTGTCGTCCCGCTGATTGTCTTGTTCTGTCAGGACATTCCAAGTTCACTCTTGTTGTGTCTTCGCAGTCTCTTGTCGACAAGGCGAACGAGATGTCAAGGGGTGGAAGTTTGTCAGCTGAATCAGCCAATGTCAAGTTTGAGGTGATCCTTTCCTCCCTGCCTTCCTCCCTCCTTGCCTGCCTGCCTGCCTGCCTGCCTGCCTCTTCTTTTCCTCTCCTTTCCATCCTCCCCTCCCTCCCTCCCTCCCTCCCCTTCTGTGTTACTCAGGTTCTCGCCACCTCCTACTCCCATGTTCAGATCTCGCATCTTTTTTTTCTCAATGCAGTTTTTCGCTATCAGGAGTACAAAAGGATATAGGTAGGTTTGTATGTCTAAATACTTTTACTTCCGCTACTATGTAATAACGGACACCT